AATGTGGCCCGCGGACCATAGTTTGAGGACGCTTGCATTAAATCGTTACAGTAATCCTCGTGATACCAAGAAGGAAGAGCATGGAGGAAATTTCATGACCCCGTCTTCTCGGGTCTCTTTGAGACAGTCCCTTAGAACTAGTACATAGTTTATTCTGCTTCTGGTATAAAATGATTTCCAAGATATATCATTAATTTAAAAAAAAAAGCAAAATGGTACAGATGAGTGTGGACAGAATATATATACCGCATATACCATATATATAAAGTGTATATATAGCATATGTATATAGTATATATACAATATACACCATATATATGTATATACAGACACATACACATACACAGTATATATACCACATATTCCATATATATAGTATATATATACCACATATCTGTGTGTGTATACACACACAATAAAACTTCTATAAGTTGACCACCCAAGGGACTGTAACAAACAGGTCAACACATAGAGGTGGTCAACATAAGGAAACCAGATATACTGTATCGATATGTACACACGGTGCCTATCTGCAGTCACGGAATTATAAATCAACACGCTGCATTTGGGGAATCATAAGCATTTCAGTCTGGCTGAGGCCAAGGATTTGGGATTAAAAATCAGAGAGGTTGCTGAGAGCTGGATCATGGTGGGCCACGGATGCTAAATCACCCCAAAAGCTGGAAGGCACCATTGAACATTTCAGGTTGGAGGCAACATGCTATTCATTCATCATTCCTTCCTTAAATATTCATGGAGCACCCACCGTATGTTTGGCACTGGGGATACAGTGGCGTACTACACACGTGCAGTCTCCACTTACAATCTAGCAGAGAGTGCAGAAGCCAAACGTGCTATTTGTGATGAAGTCTTCAGAGAAGATGAGCAGGTGTTTGAGGGACCTCACCTAGTCCCTGGCGTCAGGGGCTTCTCTGAGGAATGATGTTTAAATTGACACCAGGATAATGAGTGTCACCATTTGTGAGGAAAAGAGTCTGAGGTGGGGGTGGGGTAGGAAGGAGGGAG